GAAGGAACATGCACCAATAACATTAATTTAGGAACGGATGAAAGAAAAATCTGATAAAGTGATAAGATAAAAATTTCCATGACGATGAACTTTAAAAAACTGTATACGTCGTCATTAGGCGGATTGGGAAAGAATTACATAATATATTAAATAAGTTAGGGATGAACTTTTTGTTTAAGCCTTTTTAAACTTTATTACGACGTAAATTTTAAAAATTTTGATGTGACACGAATCAAAAATAGAAATATTTTTATTCAACAAATTTGTGACATACTAATTTTAATAATAATCCCAAACCAATTCTAAAATAACGTGTAAAGAGTTAAAGGAAGAAGCCTTGGTTTAAGAATATAGATTTATACCGGTCTATTTGATTGTTTATTTTATCAAAATGCAAAAGTGTAATACGATGTTACGAACCATTATTATTATAAAAAATGTAGGAATGCACCCCGTAGATCATTAATTAACATTCACTCACTCATTCACTACCTTTTTTGCGCGTACTTTATATATATATATATATATTGAAAAATACAATGTTGACTTTAGCAGAAACTGAGCATCAAGAAATAATTAACAAATTTGGCGGAGAATTTGAATTTCGAATCGGGACAAGTTTTAATAAAAAAAAGAATCGCAATCGACCTTTATATTATCAATTTACATGTAAATTTATTTATTTATACTTTATATTTTATTATTTATTATAAACAAGTATTTATTATACATAATATTATTTAGTTGAAGTTGATACAGAAGATATAGATTTTACAAATGAGGCAACCATAAAATTTGCTGAGAGTAAAGAAACATTTGAAATTAATTATAATGAACAAAAAGGGGTTAGCCTCAATGCTTTATTACTGAGTTCTTTTAAACAATCAATATGTGTGTGCGTTTATTTATGTACTTGTGTTTGAATTTTAGGTAGAGGGTCCATTAAAATTAACAGGACATTTGGTTGAAGATAGTCATAATAATACTTATGATTCGGAAGCCATTAAAAAATGTTTAATGATTTTTGATGAGGAAACAAATGTAAATCTTTTTTTTATTATTATTTTTATAAATAGAATTAATATTAATATTAACAACTGTTGATTGAAATTTATTATTTTATTTTAAACTTAGACATGGTCATTAGAAATGGTGGGATCTAGTTATCATGTTAGTAAAGGCGAGTTTGATAATTTTGAAACATCTAGTGAACTGCAAGAATTTGCTAAAGAATTTGATTTCACTATGAGACAATCATCTGAAGATGATGGAATGGTCGAAGAAGTAGAGTATAATTACAGTGCTGATGTTGATCTTAATAATGATAATGACAATGATAATGATAATGACATGGAAGTGGATGAAGATAATGACAATCCATGGATGGAAGATTGTTTAGAAGTAGTAGAACCTAACACAATACAAAATATAAGACATCTACAAGAAGAAGAAGATGATGATGATGATGGAGATGATGATGATGGCAATGGTAGAAAACATGGTTATAATAATTCATCAGATTCAGCTTCATCTGATAATAGTAGCAGTGGTGGTAGTTCATCTGATAATGAAGAAAATGATGATGCTGATAATGGTTCAGATTCTGGGGATTCAGTATTAGATTCTGAATTTGCTGAACTTGCAACAATGATGAAAACTTCGTTGAATCAAGAAAATGGAATCAATAATTTAAATCGTACCAAGATAAAAACAAACAAAGTAAATTAATAAATAATATAAATTTTATGTGTGTAGATGTAACAAATACATGTATATTAACTAATTTCTTTCTGTTAATATCAATCAATCACTTGTTTAGTTGAATGTTGCACCAAATCATAATTCAGGTCCTGTGTCATTGGAACAATATTTGGGTGGTGGAGGTATTTATTATTCCATCTCATGTTTATGGATTATTTAATCAAATAAATAAAATTTAACATTTTATAAATAAATAATAGGCAATAATGCTCAAGAAGAAGTAGATAATGATGATGATGATGATGAAAGTGGCTCCTCATCATAAACAATTTGAGCAATCACAACTACATATCAACTTTTTTGGCTATTCTTCTTTTCAGAGATAATGATATAATGAAGATTGGGATAATGACAAATTAACTTTTATTCGAAAAATTTAAATATATAATAATATTAATTACCAGAAAAATATTATTATTTTATAAAAGAACTTTTATTTAATTAAATTAACACATTCATATATACACTATTTTAAAATAATATTGTGATGATGTCAATAACAAATAAAAAAGTACATAGATAAATATTATTTAATTTTGCTTAATCATTAATTTTTATTTATAATTATTCTTTGATTTTATACATTTGAAATAAGAAAATATTAAGAAATCATAAAATGCTTTTTGTTAAAAAAAATAAAATATATATATTTACTACTGCATAGGAGACATATTCAAATATTCACTTAATGAAAATGCAGTATCTGGTGTTTTCATATCATTAATTGATCGAATTTGGTTTGGTGGTGTTCTTGGACATTCAATCAAATCCTTTGAAGAAGATGAAGATGAAGATGAAGATGAAGATGAAGAAGCATCATTGTTTTCCTTCCATGGACTAAAAGTTGATTTTTGAATTTTTTGGTATTTAGTGGCAGGGTTTAAATCTTCACCCCAATCTGCTTTCCTTCTACGTGATGATGATAAAGAAGAGTTTGTTATTGTTGGTGATCCAAAGTCCATTAATGTCCATGAGTGATGATGATGATTATGATTATCATTATTATGTTGATGTTTATGTTGGTAGTGACAATTATTGTTAATCATGTAATTATTAATATGTTGATTATTGTTGTTGTTATTATTAAATCTATCTGATCCATAATTTCTTCCTATTGAATTTAAATAGGGTTCTATGGAACTAAGATTCATCCCTATTGGGAAAAATGGAGGTAAATCTTGTTCAAGAGAATATGTATCAAATGATGGTAGTGAAGCTAATTATTGATATGACAATGATAAAATAATAATAATAAGCCAAAAAAAAATATATTGTTAAGATCAAATAAATAAATGAATAAAGTTAACAAATTGATTGATTGATTGATTACCTATTGAAGAAGAGATTTCATCATTATGATTTAAATGTTGTTTATTGATGTTAATATTTTTGTTATTATTATCATTCCTATTGTTGTTAGTATTATTAATGTTAGATGATGATGATTCAGGTCGATTAACTAATGAATCAAGTATTTCAAAGACAGCTTTAGCTTTTTCATCTGTAAATCTATTTTTTGATGGAGGTACAGGAGAAACATTAAATGGAAGATGTGTTCTTTGCTTATTTGGATAATTTTTATAATCTTCTAATTTCTGTTTTACCATTCTTTCACACGTTGATATATCACACTTTTGTAAACCCCATTTTACTTTAAAATAAGCAAATTGAAGCCCTATTCTTAATTTTTTTGCAACCTAAACATTGATATTTATGGATATGTGTGTATATATATATATATATGATTATATATTTATAAGCCACTTCAAATTCAGGTGGAAATGTTAGAATATAAAAAAGGTTTATTTTTACCTCATAAATATCTTTTACTTTTGAATAATCTATTATAGGTTTTTCTGTTAAGAGTTTAACGATTTCTTGTAATTCTTTTGCCTCGTCAACATTCATTATGAACTAATTAATAAATATATTATTGATATTGTTTAATTGTCAATACATCCATGAATATTTAATTAATTAATTAATTACATTTATTTAATTGTAAAAAATAAATCTTACATATTTTTATTATTTTTTGATATAAAATAATTACTTGTGGATATTTTTTTTATTGGTATTAGAGGAAAAGGAAGAGAAAGAAGGATGATGTGAAAGCATGGTTTTTTTTATTTATTTATATAAAAAATTTTTTTTTAGACTTTGAATTAATTGGATTAATTGGCGGAAGAAAAGGTTAGAGAATGAACATGACAAAAGCAAGAGTATATTGGTTGTTTACTAAAAGAGGAAATTAAACATCTGTAATCGATTATTTTAATAGTAGATGTTACACGAACTATGCACACGTTGTTGAATAATCAAGAAATTCCGATTAATTAAATGAAATTGTGATTTTCAAATAAAAGTGTAAATTTTCTTAAGTTTTACTAATAGATTTACATGTAACCTCTGATATGGTTGTTGAGTGTTGTAATCTGTATAAAATGCTAGTTGACCTCTTGATTTTTTTTTGCAATGTCAGAATTATTAAACATAGTATGCTAGTATTGATTAAATAAGCAACAAAATGCTTACTATAAATAGCAAGTTTCAAACATATACAACATACCCATAGAACCAATAAATTCCAAACATTTATGATGATGAGCATAACCACATATTAACATTATACCTTCTTGTTCATCCTCTTTGATCACAACAATCATAGTTATTATTAGATGGTGGTTTAGAACTAACCAGCTGGTAATTTTAATCATTCGTTAAATCTTTTAAATGTGAATGTTAATAATAATAATGACAACAACTACTGCAACAAAATCAGACAAAGTGACCGTTTGCATTACTAAGGATTTCAGGCATTAAAATTCCAATGTAATGTGATTAACAATTTTATAATATCCTATTTGTATTTCTGGAACAGATCATTGTGATGTTCATGTTCCTGTTGTTGGAGGTCATAGTGGCATGATTATTGTTCCACTATTATCTAAAATTTCATCACCTTATAATTTCACACAAGATCAAATTTTTTCACTAACAAATCATATTCAATTTGGTAAATTTTATTTTTATATTATAATAAATTATCAAGTCTTTTTTGATATAAAATTATACATGTATCTATTTATTGTAAAGGTGGTGATGAAGTTGTTAAAGCAAAAGATAATACTGGATCTGCAACTCTTTCTATGGCATACACTATTAATCTTGATGCTGATCAGAGAAGGTAGCTTCCAACTTAAAATGCAATTAATAACTTGGAACATTTTTCAACAAATATTGAATTGGATGTAAGATTCGCTTTAGCCAAACAATGTTTCGAAGATTCTTCCATTTGGTAATCTCACTGAATATGAACAATCGGCTTTTTAAGGCTACAATTCCTGAACTTAAAGTGAACATTAATAAGGGTGCCTCTTTTATGATAGAAAAACCAAAATTGTAAAAAATTGTAAAATTATCCATCCTCTTAATTAAAACAAACAAACAAACAACTTGATTAAGGTTTTTTTCATAATCTTTTTATAGTGGAAACTTACTAAATTCCATGAAATGTATCCATCCATAGTTAAAGCTCCGAACGGTTCGGTTTTTCGGTTTACATTTGACCCAAAAATTTCAGACATTCTAAATTCAAAAAATTATAATAATTGTAGCTTAGTTTAGCGAAGTAGAGATGCTGGAAGGATCCTGTTTCTGAATACTATAATTTTATACCATGGTAACGATGGTATGGAGATCATGATTGAATTTTATACATAATACCACGTTTAGATACAGCTGTTCAGTTATAGGTCGGATCGTTACATATTCATAGATTCACCACAAAAATTTGTAGTTTAGAGTTCCCATTCATTCTTATTCAAATTATTCGTTTATTCGTTTTATTCGAATTATTCATTTTATTCGTTTTATTCGTTTTATTCGTTTTGTTTGAATAGAAATCCTAAGGATGTTCTACTTTTTCAATTCATATATAAAATTCATTGTCTCCGCAAAATTTTAAACTCTTATTGTTTCAGGTTCTAAAATACAACGTCTTTGAGTAATTAAGTCTGTGCTCAGAAAAAACTCGTTCACTGGTTGTTACTAGATTAGAAAACAGTGAGTTTGGCGCAAAAATTAGAATACCAGGAACTGACAAGTAGTTTTTAGCCTAAGCTCTGAACAGTTCGGTTCAAACTGAACTGAACCGAAATTTTTCAGCTTGACTTTTTAGAATCCGAAACCGAACCGAACCGAAATTCTTCGGTTTGAACCGAACCGTTCAGAGCTTTAACCATAGTATAGTAATTGTAATTACAGTAATTATTTTCAGCTTTCCAATTATGAACACAACAACAATTTCGATATTAAAATTAACTACGGCCACTATGATTATTAGTTTTTTTTCAATGTCATCATAATCTTAAAATTTTTTTTTTTGGCTATAGTAAAAATACAATAACAATCAAATAAACAAATACCCTCATATCTAATCAAATTAGACCGTTTGGGCCAACATATCACCACATTTTCTTTCCATGTGGCTGTTATAATCACACTTCAATAAGAAAATTGTAGCGAATACATCCACGACACCCCAAATCTAATAATGTGATTTTATCATCTTTTTATATTTTTAATATTTAAATATTATATTATTATTACACAATGAATCTTGGTTTAGTGGACCCTAACTTAGCGGATACTAATCAAAAATCTCGATTTAATGGATGAAGTAAACCCCTTCTTATTATAACGGATTTTGGAAAATTGCCCAAACTATTTGTTAAACCGAGATTCACCATATATCTCTACTACTACTATTATTATAATTATGACTATATTATTATTATTATTGTTGTTGTTGTTGTTGTTGTTATTTTATTTCTTTTCATATGTTTGTTGATACCAAAACGTATTTCTATATTTACAACTTCCTGATAACGTGTTTTCCATGACATTACATAAGATTTTCTTCTTTCTGTATAATATAAAACTTCATGTGATCGTAAATGACTTTTGGTATATTTTCTTTTACCAGATCAATGGACATGAATTGGTTTTTATCTTGATATATTCTCCAATATGTTTCATCAAACATATTTCCAGTTACTATATGATTACTAGTACACAGTGAGTCTCGGTTTAGTGGATCTTGGTTTAGTGATTTGGGGTTTAACAGATAAATTTCAAACCCAAATTTTTCTACAACTACAATTATTTTATCTCGCTTTAACAGATTTAACAGATTTTTTAATATGTCATTATCCTTGGATTGGGTGCAAGCTGCGACTGTTCTTGCCTTTTTTGGCTAGCCTAATTTCATAAGATAAATTGCGTAATGTATTATTATTATTATTTATAAATATAAAAAATAATAATAACAATGTATGTATTAGTATTAATTTATACCCCGTGGTTTGATCAAATAAGTTTCGCTTTTGCGGATCCCTTTGTTTAACAGCAGTGTTGAGTGCGGGGAATACGGGGTGTAACATCACACACCATCAAAATTTTAATTTTGTACTAGTTATAATAAATTTTCTGGAAAAAAATACCCGTTAAACCGAGATTCATTGTTATTGTGCATCATTTAGTCGAATCATGAAATTAAAGAACAACTCTCAATACTGGCATAATTCGATAAATTCATAAAATCCACCATGCCAAACCTATGAATTTGACAAGCTTCGACTGTATGTGAATTTCAAATTCACATAGACTATACAACATTTACCGTGGGGCTAGAGTTTAATAAATTAATAATTGTTTTGTCACATGCAAGTCGAGAAATGATTTTTTCCTATAGAAGGATAATAATAAGATCCTTAATAAAATTTATTCGTAAAACATATAATAATAATAATATTTATACAAAGTTTACTATTATTAGTTAATTTAAGGGTATTTAAAGAACGAAGTTGGCACACAATGAAAAGTAACATAGTGGACATTCGTTTTATCCGTTTTATCACATGTGGGGCAGACTGCAACAAAACAAGACAAAGTGAACATTGGTATTATCAAGAATTTCAGGGATCAAAATTTGTAATGTGATTATAATTTGTTATCTTAAGTGATATATAGAACTACTCTTATGTGAAAATAGTTAATATGAAACTTATTTACATCAGATCTACCATGGAACCTAAGAATTACAGCACTATTAGAAGTATTCTAAAAAAAGAACAAGGTGAAAAAATTGCTCCTTACATTTTCAAAATAAATGATACTCAAACACTAGAAACTTATCTAAGAAAAGAAAGTATTACCTATGAAATTTACCATGAAGAAAGGAAAATAATAAGCAATAAATGAACCTTAACATCAGCTCATGATGAACCAAGAAAGAAAAGAAGACTGGCAGAATAAACAATCAAATCATTATTAATCATCATCTTCATCATCCTCTTCTTCTAGTTCTGCTGGACCTTCTCATCATTTAGCGAGGAGTCTTCTTTTTCAAATCACTCAACCTAGACTAGCTAAGAGGAAGAGAATTCCTCCAAAAGCCACTCAAGCAGAAGGATTATTAGTCCTTCAGAAAGATTTAGCAGGAAGTAGTTCCTTCTTTTTAGGTTCATTCTTAGAGAAACTATGAGTAAGACCAACTTCTTTCTCAAAAAGATATTTTCTTATTCCTGCTTCAGTGAATTCAGTGCCATTTCCATAAACCCTTCTGTCTAATACTTTTTTATTATCATTAGAGTCCATTTTACCTTCCATTTCACTTTTTATCTTTTCTTTTTCAGCAGGATTTTCCAGTGAATAATTGACAATGGTTTGAATTACTGTCTTAGGCTTTTGAGTGAAAAACCAAGTTAACTCTTTATTCTCCCCACTGCCTTTTGGATAAATAGGTAAATTAGCATCATTGGCTAGATTATTTTCTAAATAAACTAAAAAACTACTTTTATTAGAAAGGTTATTGACTTTATCTGCAACATTTTTGATTGCACTAGCATTTGAGAAAAACTTATCTGAACCTTCTATATCTCCCCATTCATAAACCAGACTGGTAGGGATAATGTCAATACCAAGAGCTTGGCGAAGTTGACCATTAGTAATTCTTTTTTTTATTGGTTTACTTAAATATGCTTTGATTTGTTCTAGTTCTGACTTTTCTTCCACACTTAACTCTCGAAAAGTGAAATTATTTAGTTCATTTTTAACAGCTAATAAGTAGTTTCATAAAGTCTCTTCACCAAAAATCCCCCCACTAGGGGTGACTCTCTTTCAAGACTGTAGTCTTCCAATAAAACCATTTTCATCCAATTCCTTTCAAGAGGTATATTTAGGAAGTTCACCTGAGTTTGCTTTTTCTCAGTTCTCCAAATCAGTTCTATAGATTTGAGTAGTAAAGGTGGAATCAACAAAAAATTCAGGCTCATTTTCTTTTTTCTCAATTCAATCTAATAAACAATTCATGAAGATTAAATCTGCACAACTATACTTTTGATCACCTACAGGAGACTGTTCATAAACTACTTTGAATTGTTTTCTAACTTCTACCAGATTATTATTGCAAAGAGTTTTGATTTGGTTTTCAAAATCATCTAACTTTTGTTGAGCCTTATTTTCTGCAATAGTAATTTCTTTTCTTTCTTCTAATTTCTTACCTCATTCACCTTTCAGGGAAGTAAAAGCATCAATTTGAGCTTGTGCTATTGGTTTCATTTCATCATACTTATTGATTACATCAGTAGTAATGGTTTTTTTGTCATATTCAATGTATTGAGTAGCATTGGTATCCCAACCAGTTTTTTTAGAAGCATCCACCATCTCTTTATGTGAAGCAAATCCCTTGGCTTGTCGCATGAGAGGTTCCCAAGTTTTAATAGCAGACTCAGAAATTTTCCTAATAATTGGCTTTCATTCATGAGAACGCTCCTTATAATTAATTCCATTGGCTTCAATTATCTCAATTGCTCTTTCTAAATAAGAGCATGCCATAGCATCAACTAAACGATGACGCTTCTGATAAGTAAGTATTTTGGCTTCATAATCTGAGATTGGTTCACTCCGAATTAGTCGCTTTGTGTTTCCATCTTTGCTTATTACTTCATCATGTGAATTAAATTTCACACAATCAGTATCATTATAAACTTTTCAAAAGAACTCAGCTAGTTCACCATTAGCTCAATGTAAATCTAATTTTTCAGCAGTAAAATTGGCATCAAACAGAGATCCACCTGCATAAACTTCTCCAATAACACTATTATCTCTTCCTCTTCAATAAATAGGAAATTTAGTGTTTAAGTTATCTGAACCAACTAATTCTAAGCAACTAGCAGTACCCTCTTGGATGAAAGGGCTATTTTTGTAATTGTCATCTTGGGGAAAAAGAGCATGCATGAACTTGCAAACATCACTAACAAAGATGTAATCTCTTTCTTTTTTTCTAGCTTCCTCCTCATCAAACTTTTCTTGCTCAAATCTTTCTTTAAGTCTTTTTCCTTTGTCAGTTTTCTCAATTTTAAAATTTCATGACCTTTGAAAAGTTCAAGTCATCATTCTCTCATAAGTATCCTTGATTTCTTTCTTCTCATCAGAAGACCAATTAGTAGCCTCAATAGCTGAAAATAACTGACCTTTATCAAATTTTTTGAAAAGAGCAATAAACTGTTGTGGCAAATCACGAGTTAAAAAGAGTGATTGAGTTAAAGGAATACCAGTATCATCATAACCAGTTCTTATTAGAGAATTTGCTGCAGTTGTGGTGAAAATATTATCACAAGTTTCTTTTGTATAACTAATTATTGTATCCAAAATCTTATAACTAATCTTGGTATTATCTCTCAAATCTTCTTTTAAAGCAGAAATAGCATTTTTAACTTTGCCAAGATAATCAATTGCTTTTTGCTCTTTTTCAGGAGAACACTTCTCTGCGAGTTCTTTTATCTCTTTATCTTTAGTTTGAGCTTGTTGATTTACATTCCCCAAAACTCCAAGCAATGCTTTAAATTCAATCTCTTTGTTAGGGCTAATGTCACCTACTTCTTGGAACAAACAGTCTTCTAATATTTCTACCACTAGGTCAACCTTATTTCCACGACCCAGACTATTAACTAGTTGATAAAGGTCTGAATTATTTCTCCTTTCTTTTTGTAACCTGCTTAATAAAGAAATTCAATCAGCAACTGAATTGTTGATATTTTTTGCTTTGGCTTTAGCAGTTTTATAAATGTTTAGGAACTCTGCTAAATCTTGAAGTTTAGTTTTATCTAGTTTTCCATCTCTATCATTTAATTTGGAACTTTCAAATATTTTAGCAGTTTTTCCTCCTCGGATTCCTTTTAATTTACCGCCATAATAATTGGAGTATCCTTTTGCTTCATCTATTGTATTTATATCATTTTTATTGAATGTCATGATTTCACTTCCTATATTATATTTTAATATTAATATCATTAAAAGATTAAATATAAAGAATTTAATAAAAACTAATAAAGTAA